AGAAGAGGGGGGGGGGGGGGGGGGGGAGAAGAAGCCATATTTAATGATTATTTTTAAATAAACCCTTCATCAGTCATTTTGGAAGTCTGAGTTAGGAATTTAATTACAAGCGATGCAATTCTGAGAAGTTCCAGGTTTGCTGGTTAGGCTGAAAAGCATACACAGATCACTAAAATCCAGCAAGCTGACTGAGAGATAGTTGCGCTCAGTCTTCCCTTTCTTCGCTCTCCGCACTTTCCCCTCAAACGCATGAACTATTCTGTGGGAGTGGGCAGACTGGGCGAAGAGAAGAGCTAAATGTACCCTCTGGCAAGGTTAATTTATTGAGCAAGAAAATTCTCTAGAAAGACTTTTTACCTAGACTAGAACAGGAAGACATATTTTAATGGATAGTTAGAATAAAACACATCCTTTGCAAGGGAAGATCTGCAAGATAGAAGCAAATTCACTTCTGAGCCACCATTTCTCACCATGCTTGAAAAGAATCATTTCTTAACACCTTCACAGGAACTTTAATTTCTCCTAGAAAGACGTCTTGTACCAAATTTCCATTATTCCATAGGTCAACCCTGAAAATAAGAACATTGCTTTATTTTTTTTTCTCCTGGAGAGAAATAAAAATCTTCAAGTTAACAGTAACTGCCTTACAGCACTAATCCACATGCATGCAGGCAGGAAATGTTAGAAATCTCACTCCATTCTAATTAAATCAAGAAGGATCAAACGAGTGGCTTTATTAACCCATAAAGAACAGATAAAGAAACAAACAGTGAGAGTTAGACTCGCAGACCTTGCATCAGTAAATAAAAGTGGTATTGGCAACATACAGGTATTCTGAGCAGTCTCCACCCCCAAAACTGTGCACATTTCTTCCCAGGTAATTCAAGTGAACTTTTTAACTGATATAGTTACATATCCCTATCTAATTGCTAAAATCTGGCATACTGCAATGCCACACCAACACATGCGCTTGTTTTCCAAACAGCAGCTCGTATGCTTTCAACCTCAAAAGGAACCACAGACTCCAGACATGCACCTTGGGTTTTCTCTATTACTTCTTACCTCTCTGACATTTCTGACAGACAGCAGTTGTTAAGAAGAACAAAAAAAATTAATACTAGATTTGTTGGGGCATGACTGTTTTTCTAAATGTATTTGCATCTATAATGAAATATACAATTCTAATTAAGGTATTCATGAAGCTAATAGTTAAAAATGCACATACCAAGTTAGTTCTATAATGGCTATTAAAACTAACCACCAAATTCTTCTTCCGATGCCTGTTAGGAAACATATGCTAGCCTTGAAGACTTTTTATCATTCAGCAGATTTGGTGCATGTATGTGCATGAGCACAATAAAGAAAAGAAACTGAGTACAGGGGCTCTCAACTGTTCTAACTACATAGCACAAATACAGACACACCTGCTCTAAGGGTAAAGGAGCAGAAAAGGGGAATATACTTTGAAGTATTCTTTGCATTTGCAAGGAAAAGATGCAACACAAATGTTGCTCTAAGAAGCCATACGAAACCATAAGGATCCCATAAAAGAGGCTTTTCCCTCTGTTTTTATTAAAACAGCCAACTACATTTGAAACCATAGACTAGCATCAGGTATGCTGTTATCCTTCAGTACAAGTCCTATTACCAATAGTCTGCCCAGACTAATATATATTGATAGGAGGTCCTCACGCCTCTTTACTCACAGGCACAGGAAACAAGTTTAGGCTGCTAGATACACTCTATCACTATTTACTTAAAAATAAAAAACCTCACCTTCAGTAAGAAACACACTAAAAAATTTGAGTAATTTTATATGTTAGAAGGTTCTTTCCTACAAGTCTGATCAGTAATTCTCTGGAGTTACACTAAAGTAAAACCTTTCTTTATTGTCTTGATGGTAAAAATATTATGATTAATGAGAAAATAAATAACTTTCTAATCTACATAACTTACCTGACTTCTAGTTTCTCAATATCTTCTTCTTCCACCTGAAACTGGGACTTTTTGGTGTAACTGCTAGACCTGGTTACCTGCAAGTAAATTGTTCCTATTAACACACTTTTTACTGTTGTATTATGGATGTCAAAAAACAAAGAAAACCCTGCCTCTTTAACACTGGTAAATAGTTACTGTTCCTTTTAAAAAGGAGAAAGTTCAGTTCACCAAACAAACTGCCTTTTGACAGAAAGCAGGTGAAAAATGGGTCAATAAGGGTTCATGGTGGAGCCTGATGAGGGCTACCAGATATCTAAGGGAATTACAGTATAGATCTATTGGAAAAAACAAGAAGGAAGCATGACATGAAACTGGCAACAATTTCCTTGGTTTCAGCATGAGCCCCAAGAAAACACTGAAGTTAGTTCTGAGATGTTGAAGGAAACAACAAATAAGTAGTCCACTTTTCTTGCCCGAGTTATACCACAATTGTAACCTCGTTTTAATTTTCCTTATTTCTTGACTGATTGCATTCTCAGTTTAAACTCCAATAAATCATAAGTCATAAAGTTATCGGAGTGGTTTGGATCACATTTTTATCCTAATATCTTACTTCCTAAGAAATTACACTCAGTATCTTGACCAAGTCAACTGAAACACACGCCATACATTGATAGTCTATACATAAGTATGGAACAATTTCTCACTGAAGTCCCACAGCAGGACCAGGATCTATATAAACACAGTAAATTATAGTACGTGAGGCACATGTAATAGTTGTACTACTTCCAACTCTCAGCTGAACAGTATAGTATGCTTACACGCAAATGTAGTTTTTATTACAGAGCCAAATCAGATAAAAATTCAAACTCATAATTTGGTTACTGTAGGGTAACTCATGTAGAATTGAAACAAATCCTAAATAACAAAATAGTTAACATTTTTAAAAATAAAATAATAAAATTAGCCTTTACTGGGTATAATTGCTACATTGTTTTATTAAAGGAATAATTTGGGTTTTTTTTTTTAGCTTAATGTCCTTGAAAATATTTAAATTGAATTCCACAGGAGAGGTTAAAGTTCTCTCAGAACTCCTGATGGCAACAGATGCTGTATAAAGTGATCCAAGATAACGAACTGCCTTCACATACGTGCTCGTGAGGAAGTCGTTTTTCACATAGCAATTGAAGGGGAATGCTATTGTCTGGCAGCCCCCAGAAATTTAAGTATATCATTCACTTACATTTGAGAGGCTAGTAAAAGCTCTTCAATTTGCTTGAAGAGAGCTTTCTGCGTTAGGTACTGCTATACAGCTTGCTTAAAAATATTTGAAGGGTTGCATAAAAATAGATAAACAGGCAGAATACCACACAAAAAGTTACCTCAAAATAAAATGTTTCGTTAAACTGCGGATTGCTTGTTTTCTTCTTTACTTTGGTCTTCTTTTGGTCATTCCTGTTCCAATGTGGTAAAATTTTTACCATAGACAACTTAAACAGACAATTTTAAAGACATTCTATTGTCAAGAAGGACCCATGCATTTAAGTTAAAACATTTTTTGTCATTTTAGACATCACTGATCAACGAAGAAAATCTTAAAATGAGTTCATCTTCACAATATAGTTTGAAAAGTTAAAATTTGAAGTGCTGTATCTAGTTAATCGTGCATCTGTCCAGCCCAAAGTTTCTATTTCATTTCACAAACGAGTATAACTTACACATATCAAGTAAAATATATCAACAATTTCTAAATCGTTTCAAACTTAAGTCTGCAGACAATTTCTTTACCACTGCTTGCAGGTTACAAGCACAGTTTTCCTCGCCTTGTTCAACTGCCAATTTCTGTTTTTCCCACCCTCTTTTGTTGGGGAAATGCCTACTACTTCTTTACAGACAGAGGCTTACACCAAGCCACTGAATGTTTCCTTTGGAAGGAATCGCTGCTAATGCTAGATGCTAAATAGCATAGGGTCAAACAAAACAATTGCTCCCCACTCCCCTGGGTTTTGTATAGATTTTTTTTTTTTTATTTTACACATTTTATAAAAGAATACAGTCTTAGTTAGTTAGTAAAGGGCTATGATAGTATAAAAATGCTTTCTAAAAGAAACAAATACAAAATGTGGGGGAAAAACAGACAAGGGAGAAAAAAAATTGTCCTAGACATCAACTAACTGTTTTCAGGTGCTGGCCATATAAAAATTCCAGTCATGGTACATGACTCACACATGCATGAGATTGGAAAATCTTAACTAGAAACTTCTGACAGATTTGCACATATATTCCCATACCAACAGGGTAAATATTGTGTGGGACCAACATTCACTCAGTTCCATCTGCATCACAGGACTCAAACAGGAAATATATGTCAATTTACCTTCTTTGGCAATCAACACCACGCTTCCTAGGTATAACGGTCCAATCTCCTTAGTCCTCTTAAAAAAACCCCAACCAACCAAAACAAAACAAAAAACACCCACCAAAAAATCCCCCAACCCAAACCTAAAAAAAAATGTGATCATGTATTACCAAGGAGGAAAAAATTCCCCTTTCACTCAGAGCTTAACTGGGGACAATCCTTCTGGTACTGTGCTCACAGTGGCAATTCTTCAGTACTGGAGAAAGTAGATGTGCTTAGGTTTGATGTTGCAAAAAAGAAACAACTGAAACCTAGCTTACATTAGATGTTATTGGGCAGGGACTTGCAGATAGTGAATGTGTGGGATATGGGATTTTTCTTAAATGAAAAACCCCAACAGTTATTCAGGATTACCGATCCAAAAAAAGGGAGGCATTTAAACTGTGGGGACTTTTAGTAGCATCCTGAAGGAGCTAGCATTAGAAAGGTCTCACCAGAACCTCTACTCTCTTGCTTCCTCCCAATTGCTAAACATTTGCTGCAAAGAAACTCACGCATTAAGAAAAACAGGGAACAGAGGAAGGCGGGTGAGCAATTGACTATATTGTCCCATACAGGAATTTGACAAAAATTAATAGGAAGTACAGTGCAGATATCAAAAGTCCAGTACAAAACCTGAGAAGAAAGAAAGAAAGAACTGAGTGACAAGTGGTTCTTGAGTACTGCAGGCCATTCAGACAGACCAAACACCTTCACAATCTTGAGAGTATGGTAGGGAAGGGGAGAGTACAGTAACAATGGAAGATGTGATATACGCAGAAAGCATTTAAAGATTTTTCTGTATTTTAAAGATTTTGCTTAAAACCTATGACTTTCTTTTCAAGTTTAAGATCACAGCATTTTACATTCATTAATTTTATTTTAAAATGTTACCTGGAAGGCCCCACAAGAGAGACTGTTGCGTAAGGGTCACAATTCTGTCCATTTATAAGAGGCAACCCGTGGCACTCCTTTATGCTACAAGGAAAAGGCAATCAATAGATCAGTGAAGCAGTATCTTTGGCTTAAAAAAAATAAAACCCAAACAATCCTTTCTTTTTTAAAAAGATTTTTTTAAGTCCTATTGTATTATTACACAATGATATATACATTGATCCAACGTAATGTATGTACATGAAGTAGATCGTAACTACAGATCTCCGGATGATAATACAAGGTAATACTCAAGTGTACCGTCAGACTTAGGGGGCTCTGCGAGAACAAAGTTCTTGGAATTGCTTTGGTAAAAGACATTCCAGTATCACACATGCATGGCAAAATCCTAAGTAAAATGAACTGCTATGTTAGGGGAAACTGCAGACTTCATTAACTTTTAAATTTGATTTCTCAAGGCCCAGAAAAAGCTATCTGGCCTCATCCACATGACAGCAACTACATTTGGAAGGCATTAAAGTGGATTTAAATATTTTGTTTTGGCTAAACTACATTCTGAGTTGAGTGAGCTGAGAAATGCAAAGTCATATCCTGAAACGTTATTTAGAATTAAGCATCCAAAACTATTAGTATATAGTCCTAGCATGTCTAGGTTCCATCCATACTATTCAGCCACAAAGAAAAAAATCAGTTTACCTTTGAAGTAGTGTTTAAAGTCTATTTTCAAACTCTTTTCACCATAGTGCATGATCAGGGTTAAACGGCCCTTTTAAAAATACTGTTTTCTTCCATAATTTGTATGGTAAGTTGTAAGCCTGTGTTTAACAGGTACACAGGCACACTGTTCACCACTCCTGATGCAAAAGGGATGGGGTGGTTATAAAGTAATGCTCATGGGGACAGAGACACGTTTTCTGGACCTTTTCTGAAGGCTTGCAATCTTTTTCAATCACCACAGCAGGAACACTACTAGAAACAGAGCTGGTCAGCAAGCTGACTAACCTTCAGATGCTGCCCACACATGAGTATTAACTAAAAACAGCTGGAACAACAAAAGTAAAGCAAAACAGTTTGTAAATTTACAGCAGAAACCAGACTTTCTAGCAAAATAATGCTCTAATGTAGCCATGCACACTGTAGTCTTTACTAAGTACCGAAACATTCAGCAGATTACAAAATTTCATAAACAAGTAAGACACAAATGAGATCTGAATGTTATATTCCTGCTCTCTCTTTTTAAAGTCATCTACTTTTAAATAACGTATTGCAGGAATTTAACTAAATTAATGTAAGTAAGTTTTAGTTGCCAAAATTAGCCAGTTTCCATGTAACTTAAGGAGAAAATAGACTTTTCTGCTCTAAGTTCATATAAATAATCAAGTAAATGTCCTAATACTATCACATGGAATAGTAAGTTGTGCAGATCAAGTTAAAGTTACATAGCAGCAACAGTAGCTGCACACTGTTGTTAAGCAAATGCTTTCTGTACTGTAGAAAAACTGTTAAAAGAATAACGAGTTGCAAACTCAAACACTCCCAAGCGGGGAAACAACAGACACTAACACTCCTCTGCTGCCTCAAAGCTCCACCCTCTTTGGAGCATGCACGATTATAAACGAGATGGTATTTCCCCAAAAAAAAGTCCCTTTGTCTTAGCCAGTTCAGGGAACATTCAGTGCTGAACCACTGCACAATAATTTGTTATTTTTCTTCCAGTTTTCAAGCACATGGCCTTCAGCATTTCAATAATTTTTGAATCACAATGAACCCTACAGTGATTTCAAACCCACCATTTAAATGGGTTCTTGAAACATCCTGTTGTTTCATAAGCATTAATTGATTCCTCCTCCAACACATACGTGACATACAAGAGTGGCGACAAAATTACTGTCTAGACTTTTCAGTCATTTGGGGTATCTGATTTGAAGCAGCTAGGGCTTGATTCTTTCAGACTATCAGGCATTTTGCAGCACTAAACATACTGTCTCTGCAGCTCCCAGAGATTTTCGCTTTCAGGTGTGAGGGCTGAGTGTACCTATAAGTTAGCCTCAACTTGAATCTCATATGAAATTCCTAGCAGATGGATCAAATCAAATTTATCTGGATAGAATTCAACTATTTTAACAAGAACAACACAATTTCTCTTCCTACAGCCCGTGTCATGTTCACCAAGCCCCTGGGTTTCTCTAGCGAACAGATGGAAGTCCTACAGAAAGCAGTTTCTTTCGCTATGTACGAAGTTTCTCACTCCTTCCCTGATCACTGTATGAATGACCTGCATACTTGACATAATGATCCTGTGGGAAAACGTGTATTATCATATCAAAAACTGATCACAATGCCCTACATTTGGTTACAGAAACAGCTTGTTTCGGCCTCCCCTGTCTTTTTACAGCTTGATCGCAACACACACAAACTAAAGGAAGGCTTGTTTGTGATTTCTTGCAAGCTGAAAAACATTTTACTGACAACTATACAGCCTTGCAGCAGAACTAGAATCTCCAGATTCATCATATAGATCTGTCACTTCAAGCTGATTTCATGCTCCAGTCAGTCTCCCTGTGTAGGCAGCTCTAGCATTTCCTTTTCATCTCCTGCCCAAGTCCCAGTTCTGTTGCCAGCAATTAAGGTCTACCTAGCTTAGACAGCCTACCCTGTTCCAAAACCTCAAAAACCAAATAATATACCAGTCCCCCTGACCATCAGTTCCTAATATTCCCAAATCTTTCCTTTTCAGACCCATCAGGCTCAAGAATTTGGTCCAAGTTTATCTCACCTCCTCCCCTTCCATCTCTCACTCTAAGCTAGCCACTCATAACCATCCCTTAACTCTCCAGTTACTGCCCGGAGTCTGCTCTAGACACATTATCTGACAGCACAGCTAAGTCAACTGAACTGCACTGAAATGGTGGATCCTCTTCCTTCTCTTGCACTCCTGCCCTGCATCTATCACCTATGGTGATTCTGTTTACTAACCTTACAGAAAGCTATTTAGGTTTCAAGCCAGTTTTCAGACAGTTTGGCAACCTGAATTAACCTAGTCACGCAGAAGATCTCACAAGCTCCAAAGGCAGCGCAAGGCAAGTAGCCATTAAGGGTAGGAAGCCATTAAATCAACTCAGCACTATCAAACTGGATTGTTACTCCCTAGGGACAGAATACACAAGATTGAATTATTGCAGATAGTTTTAAGCTACTAAACAAATGGCCTCCACTAGACATGTTTAAAAATTTTTGAAGATGTTTGAAGTGGCTTGGTTAGAGTAGACTTAACAGAAATGGAAAAGCGCAACCTCAACAAGCTTACCAGCTAGCAAATCTCACGGGAATACTGCCCTTCCCCAAAGAATCAGGCAAAGTGCTAGAATTGCAGTCTTCTACAACAGGAAAAAAACCAAACAAAATCTCCACCAAAAAAAAACCCACAAAAACCCCAAACACTTTAACCAATCAAAAAAGAAAATAACATTAAATATACATTCCTATTCTGACAACCATAATAAATATATTTCCACCATATGGTAAACATTTCAGCTTTGACAAATGGTTTCATCTATCTAGGCTGGCACAAGCAACTTTCATTCAAAAGGCATAAATGCATAGTTTGAAGAAGTAGACAGGAACTTAAAAGCCTTTTATTTTATATTTTAAACTACTACATCTTTACGTAAAGTCTAAGCAATAGCTAACAGAAAGACTTTTGTTCTTTTCTCAAACTACTGATCAGTTATGGTACAGTGTAAGAGACCTTTCAGTTTACATTAATTCTTGCTTCACATCTCCGTAGTTTGTTCTGCAAGAGGAGTTTCATACAGGAAATATGAGCCTTTCAGATATAACTGGCATATGTTCAGCTCCTAAGATGGAAATAAGTCCTTAAAAAGACACAGCCAGCAATAAACCCCCTCAATGACTGAGGGACTCTACCTCCACCATTCAAATCAACTGAAGTCCTCCAAGTGCAGAAACTAAGTAACTGCAGCCATTAGGATTTGTACACTTCAAAAAATTGTTATGTTCTCTAGGACGACTTCATGCGAGCAGATGAAGTATAAACAGGACAGTAACAAACTGACAGGTCAATTTAAGATAGTATAGTGTGTAATTTATTTAGAAAAGTAAGTGCAAAAAAAGACAAAATCTAGCTGTAATAAGCCACTTCTGGGCTTTCAAGTATTCACATTGTAAATACATAAAACTGTTTCTTTCAGAGTTGAAGTCACGTCAAACACAGAGAAGGCAAGTACTACCATCCAATAGCCTAATTTGGCAAGAAACAGTTCAAGTATCATCTGTTTCAGCAGCAGCAAATATGCAAGCAATGGTCACGCAAACTTGTTTTTACAGACTCCCAGAAAGGAGAGCTGCAAGCATATATTTTTTTAAATGTGCTACTATACATGCCATTGCGGTTTTGAAAAAAAGAGCCCACACTGAGTCAGCAGTTAATCTATTGCATTATCTTTTTCCCCTCCTCATTCACACATTAGAAAAGGAAACAACTAGAATCGGAGACAAAACAAAATTTTAATTCAGAAATGGGCTGTGGGTGTATCTGCATGAAATTTAACAGCAAGTTTCCAATTAATACAAACATTATGTGTAAAATCAGGGCTTAGCCCACTGTAAGTGGTCTCTAAGATAGCCCTTCACCAAAGGAAGATTAACTTTATGCTTGTATTTCAAAAAAAGTGTAAGGGCTTCATTGATATAAAATAAGCAATTACAAGTCTTAATTTTACTTTCTCCAGGTAAAAATGTATTTCAATATCATGTTTTTAGAATGCTTATACAACCTGAAAGCCCTGGATGGCTTCAGAAAGTCCCACTTTAAGAAAACTGGCCATCATTTTTTCCTTCCTCCCCGCCCTTCACACCTCCAACCCCCCCCCCCCCCCCAAGGAAAACCAGAACAGTTGGGGTGTATCTTGTACGTGTCACTTTTTGTCAACTTGAGCAAAAGAAGGAGACTTCCAGTTTTTAAGAAATGAGGAGGGTTTTTTGACTGTTATCCACAGCTTCGCTGATACAAACATAGTTTGCGATATATTAATATTGATCCTTCCCCAAGCTTACTTCCCTTACATAAAGTTGGGGAATAGAGCCCTAATAAGGATCTAAATTATAAACAAAACCAAAAGGGGCGGGTGGGGGGACAGAGGACAAAAAGAACGAAACATGAGGAATCGCATTCCTGGTTTCATTATAGGACAACTGACTATCCCTTTGTCATATGCAGCAACACTTATCTTTCTAAAATCACATTCTTTTCCCAACAACTTCTTGTTTGGAAAAGATGGTTTTACTATACATACTAGCATGAGAAATGAAGCCCTCCTCCCTCCCACATTAGTTGTAAGAGGCTAACATCAGCAGCAGCTCTCTGTTGTCCAAATCCTTAACTTTCAAAAACTGCTTCCTACTGGAATTACCTTCAGTTTTTAAAACAATCCTCACCATAAAACCCATCTAGAAGACCAGCAAAAAAACCCTTTTACAACCATGTCTACAGAACCGAAATAGTATGAATCCATCTCCTAGTCAGGTCTAATCCTATCGCTTTCGTTCAGCCACAACCAAAAAGGTGACGGGGGACTCCAGACAATGCTCAGAATCACAGCCCTTGAATTACTTGCTATTGTCTGTGCACGTAACACGATCTTTAATCTTGTGTTGTTAAAGTTATAGCTACTATTTTTCATCTTTGTAGAACTTCTGGACTCTCAGGGAATATATAGTGGAAATCCTTTAGAAACCTACCTATGCACAGAAGCCGGCACAAGTATCTAGAATTCTCTTATCCTACAAAAAAATCTAACTGGTGAAGGTTTAAAAGCTTCCCTGTCTCCTTACATTGAGAGACCATTAATTCGGACATGAAGTAAAACACGGCTCTGAAAGGCAAGTATTATAGCCCATATTTTAAGAATTATTTTTTCCACAATTTTTTTTTCTTTGGCCAATACTTTTTCAGTTTTGGACAGATCAAGAAGCAGCAGAAATACACACATATGCCCACTCTGTCTTTTTTTACTCAATCACAGCTCTGCTACTTCCTATCTTTCAGCTTTTTTAAAGGAGTTACTAATACAATGACTTCTCGGGGCCTGGTGACTTACAAAACATAGCAATAAGTGCATCACTGACTAGTTATCCTCGGAAATTTACAAAATAAGCAGACTTTTTAAGGAGTTGAAATTTTCTATTAAAGATTCTCACATGTAGTTTCTGTAAGTTCCTCATGCTTTAAGATCAAAAAGGTCTCAAAAATGCCCTCACATCCATTTCTATAATACTATATCCAGTGAGAGATTTCTTATTTCTCATACTCTCACATGCACATCCAAAAATATATTTATGTACAATATATTACTTATACAGCCAATTATTTCAAGGCTATCAGCATGTGTGATAAAATACTGCTAAACATTTTCAGTTTAAGGAACTCTAGTGCATTTCATAATCTCAGATGAAGACAAAAGTACTGGTGTAATACTGCAGTGTTTAACGCACAATCCTCTCCCACATGTCAGTGAGTGGGTGAGTACAGCAACCACGAGAGAACCCTGGCTTCCTTTCGATCATTTATCTCTGTCATAAAGAGATCCTAAGAGAGGGCACAGTGAGTAACCCACTTCCTACTCAAAACTGCAATCTGCAACAGTAACTTTCTAAAGCAACTTCTCTTCATCATATGAAAAATCCAAGCATATATTAAAAATTTTAAAAAAAAATTTAACTTAGACTAAAGTGCATGGATATATAAAAAATTAAATTAAATTAAAAAAATCATATCTATCAGAAAGTTAGGCTGGGAATAAAACACAAAGTTGTAAAGCTCCAGCCAGCTTTTGGTGGTGAATAGTCGATGGGGGAAAAGCTGTTCTAATTCTGCCTCGTGCTACAAGTGGGATACAAAAATAAGAGCAGCAGGACTCCCAGTAAACCAAGCTGCCACCCACTATACAAGTAGAAACACATTCAGAATTATCTCTAAGTTATAAATATACACTGATGTACAGCAAGTTTGTATACCTTACCTGAACTATCAGCCTACAATAGCCACTAAACCATTACCAGTTTCACTGGCTTAGGTCTATCGCAGAACTAGCTTCCCTTTTCATACCAAGTAACAGAAAAGCAAAGATTATTTTGCGAGGTCTTGCTCCAACTAAACTACTAATCTTGGTTTAGATAGTTGACTAAGACAGAAAGAACGTAATTTAAACTTCGTAATGAAAATTAAATTAGCAAAATTGACAGTGTAATGGTCTCCCCCTGCTCTCTGGAGCTGATCTGAATGTGAAGTCACTGAGACAAACGGAAGACCACACTCCATTTCCTCCCCTCACAGTTTTGCAATACAACCCATTCTCTCACACTAAATTCTCAGAGAAAACTTAAAAAACAAAAACAAACAAAAAAAACCCACAAAACAAAACAAAACAACAAAACACTCACTCTCTGAATAAATATGTAAGTTAATGAACGATGTTGGAATGCAAAATTAAAGAATCTTACTACATTTCGAGTTTTTAATCTTAGTTTTCCCTTAGTCTTTATAACCCCCCTTGTCTGTACCCTTTTCTTCACATGGCCTACTCCACAACCTGTTAGGAGACAAGTGCAGAAAAGCCTTTATTTCTTTCTGAAGCACTAAAAATAAAAAACTGCGGTAAGACCGGCTTGTTCTCCTGAACCTTACTCATACTGAGAGCGTAAAGAAGAGTCACAAGAGAACGCTGTCAGTCTCACTGAGTCTCTGCAAGTCATTGGTTTCCACTGGTCTTTTCAATGAAAGCAAACAATCTCCCAGAGGCAAGTAACACAGAAGGCTGTCAGACTTCTTCCAAAATAAAGGATAGGAGTAGTTTCTAGAGAGACCAGTATCTTCTAGTATGCCCTTATCAGACAAACTTTTTATGAGAGTTTCAAAACATTTTTGTATAGCTGTATTGGCATTAGCTTCTTATCAATTTCTGGCCTTAAATGTATTGCTTAATAATGAATAAAAACAAACTGAATGACCAGTATATGTGGACTTTTGGTCTTCTGTGACTCACATCTGTAACCTGTATATTCAGACTCCAAAAGCCATCACATAGGGTCATTATCAAACACAGCTCTAAGAGGAACAATACAAGAGTACAGAGTGGTTAGTATCTTCCAATATGTCTCATTCTGTGCTTTTTCTTTAACATTGGTGAAATTTGTCTTTTTTGAAATAAAATATACCAAAAATTTACTGGTTTTTTTGAGGCTCTTTGACATGCTGTAATGGCTTTACACTTTGGAGTCAAAATTAAGTTTGGTAGCCAACTGCTTAAGTTGTTGCTAAGAAATTTTACTGAAATGTGGCAACGTTATGCTGCTCCAAAACGGCAACTCCTGTACTTTGTTTTTCTATAAACATTCCTTATCATGGTTAACCGTGAGAAAGTAATTCTGAAGCAAAACTAAAAGTGGATTTTCACATACCAAACCAAAATATTACTACTGAAAAAGTTTCACACTCTTCCCAACACCACTACTAGCAGCTCAATTCTGTCAGTAACAGCAGTCCTGCAAGCTCTGGCTGTCAGCTGCAGTGGGCATTCCTAGCCAGACTCAATTCAACTGGAATTACAAGACACTGAACTAATGATACCAGACAGCCATGCTGAGTCCTAATAAAAGTGAGTGCTTTAGGAGTAACAGAGATGGGCAGTTGTGAAAAACTCCTGCAGGAGTTCCCTAAGCATATACCCATTCCCTCAGCAAGGTAGGCTGCAAGGAAAGTCATATAAAAAGAAAAATGTTATTGGTACCAGGATGTGCAGACATTCAGTATTAAGAGAGACAAATCACATCATGTTCTAATGAACAACTAAATATTTAAGAATTAATGTATTTTCTTACTGTACTACTAGTTGCTGGCACACAGATCCATTATCTGTTATCAGTTCATTCAGTTTTAATTCAAGGTGAACTTTTCCCTGAAAAAAACAAGAGAAACACAAATAGTTTTAAAAGCCTTTATTTTAAAACTAGTAATTAGAACGATAATAGTTTACAGTTAGAAGCTATTTGAGGTAATTCCAATATATCCACTTCAAGCAAATATCTATTCTAAAGCACGTATCCTGCAAGTAGAGGATGATGAATGCATTTGAACTTCGAGAGACAATGATAAAGAGAAGCATTATCCTCAACTGCAGACAGTACATGAATTGGTCACGCCTCCACAGATTTAACATACACAAAAAAAATACTTCTTCCAGCATGAGGAAGTACCAAAAGCAAAAGTCCCTCTCAGCTTTTTTGTCCTAAGCAAGGGATGAACCCTTGAACAGACAGTGAATTTATAAGCATTTCACAAGAAAGTTCTAAAATGACCTTGGACTCTGAAGGCAGTTAGGTATATTCAGAAAAGTAGAATAGTATGCAGTAGCTATAACCAGCAACATTTAATATCCAGCTGTGAATTCCTGTCCATCCCAGTGCAGCTTTCAACTATCTCATGAAGTCTGCTGATGTACTCATGGAACAGTAAACACAACCAAAGGAGAGGAAGAGGTGGCAATAATTGTTAAACCTGGCTTCCTCCTTTTCTGTTTCTGATATGGTAGGATGTATTAAGAAAAAGAATCCATAAATCATGGCACAGCATGGATTAACCTCAGAACTCAGCAAGTTCTGAAGTACTCTACCATCTCGATAAAAGGCTCCAAAAACTCCAAACCATGACATGCAACTTTCTTGGGATGACCAAAACTTGGTACTACAACCTTGCTCCAAACATCTCCTGCCTGAACAATACTGCTACTCCTTTCAATGCCTGGCTATTCGTGCTGGCTTTCACACCTAAGATAACCAGACACTGACACAGTCTTTCCTCTAAACCGTGTTCTCCTTAGTATTCTTGGAATTTGTCTATTTGCTAAATGGAACATCAGACAACACTGGTCTGTCCACGATTATGATTCTTAGAGAAGGGACCTGGAAAGTAATTTTAAAGCGTGGCAAAGGAAGCAAGCTATAATTTGACCTACAGTTTTGCTGTACAACACTAAAACGGAAGTAAAGCCCTTAGCAGACCTTGCACACATTTCTATAGCACTTACGTTTTCACATAAAACTGAAATGTTTTTATTGTAAATCCCCTGGGGCAAGGGCTGTGTTTCTCTCTCTGTACGTCACATGGGAGGAGAAGTGAAGTTTCTTTTATAAGAAGTTTTAAACGTAACTATTTTGGGATGCCTGCCAAGTGTTTTGCAAACTATTACTACATGGGATTGGAACACAGGTACATTAAGAAAGTATTTGTCAAGCAGAGAAACTCAATTACAAAAATAGATTTACAGGATAAAAACAGGATACTGAGAAGCATGCCAACAGCCTTACAAGGCAAAGTTTTTGAATGACAAATGAAAAGACAACATTAGTAGAGTTTATTGTATAGCTGATTTGACTAGTTTTAGTAGGCAGACCTTGTGAATGGCCTAAACATCTTCCTTTTGTGTTTATTTAAAAAAAAAAAGCAAATCGTGTTCTACACTGATCGGTAGGAGTAAAATAGAAAGTTTACTGCTCCTGAGAACTACCTGTAGATGTAGTTTGTTCAAAACTCAGCACCATGATGGCTACAGTAACATGGCTCCAAGAAAATATTTCCCTGACATGTATGAAGAGTTTTGGGTACATTTTTGTTGGGTTTTTTTGCTGAGAGCAGCGTGACGGTTTCCTAAAGTGGCTGATCTGCAGATCTATATCAGAACTTTTGACATAATATGCAACCAGGTTTTAAACGTGGTTGTACAGATTGGTTTTAGTTCAAAACAAAGAGAAATCAGCCATTCTTACACAATAAATAAGCAGCGGACTTTATGTGAACGCACTTTTCATCTGTAGATCCTGAGATCTACAGATGAACATTGAACATTGAACAACAAGGTTACATTGAACATTGAACAACAAGGTTGTTCAAAGGCAGGTAGGTACCATTTTAACTTTACAAATGGATTAACAATCAATTTTCAGATACTGACTAGAGGAAGATGGAGCTGCTGATTATGTGGCCAAGATTCAGAGAGTAACAAAGGAGCCAAAACCAGAGTGTCCAAATCACCAACCTAAACTTAAGAACTACAAAAACAATTTAGTTACACAGTTTTGGTTTTAGAATCGCTACTGCATTTTAACACTGTACTTTAAGGGTTTTTTCTCCCCACAGTTTTGATATTTTGATCATTTCCACATTATGAAATATTACAAGTATCTATAATAAATACAAGTCTTCTAGTTTTCTAAAGCTCTTAAGCGGAAACGGGGCTAGCAACTGTATTTTAAATATGTATGCCAATAGGCACTCATATACTGTGCCCACATTCCATATAGAGAATCACACTACTGTTCCAAGTGTGCCACAAAGTAACTTTTGACAGTGTTAGCTTCCTTCATAAAACCTCCTCTCCTTTAAATTCAAGAGGAGAAGATGCATACTCTTTCGTCTGAAGGGTAGTCTACGCTTGGGAAAGTTATTTAGGGTGGTGGTGGGGTTTAAACAGAGTTAGAAATGCTAACAGTTATTTTCCAGTTCCTCCTCAACATCAGAAACTCTAGATTACAGTATTTCTCTTGAACTCTCTGTCCTCTTCCTTCCACTTCCCCCAACTCAATGGAACAAATATTACAACTGAACTGTTGAATTTGTAAGAATAAGAAAGATCATCTTTATGTCAACATCTAAGTAGAAGAAAAACATTCTAAGCCAGAAGTTAGAGAACTTTATTAAAAAAAAAGAAAAAACAACCAACCAAAATAACCCAGGTTATCCACTCAGAAGCATCTTCGGTAAACTAAAGTCCTTGCGGCATATGGAAAGCAAAACTGGGGCTCTAGAATACTCCACAAATAACATAATATTCCCACATTTAGTACCACCCGAATTGTTAATTCCGTGTGCTTACTGCAAAAACGTCTCTACATAGCAGATACAGGTTCTGTCAGCTTCCATTGGCTTTTTTCCAGCTTTCCCATTCTAAATTAGAGCAAACATATACCATGTTTCTGAAATGTACTACATCTTACCACCTACCACACTTGAGCTCCTAGCAATATGTAATGGCCAACAGTTCCACAGTGCTAGGAATATCCGTTCAACTCGGATAACCCCGCAAGGTTTACTTCACCCAGACCTTTCTTTTTTCCTAGGGGTAGAGACCTGAGCCACTAGGAATCTACAAGCTGGCTTGAGGCTCCATCTCCATTTTTTCCAAATTTACATTTTTTCCAAATGTCCTGGTTTCGGCAGGGATAGAGTTAATTTCCTTCCTAGTAGCTGGTACAGTGTTTTGGATTTAGGATGAGAACAAAGTTGATAACGCACCGATGTTTTAGTTGTTGCTGAGCAGTGCTTACACTAGCCAAGGACTTTTTAGTTTCCCATGCTCTACCGACTGAGAAGGCTGGAGGTGCACAAGAAGCTGGGAG